TATCCTCTAAGGTATTTAGAAGTGAAACATAAAATCTCATTTTTAGAGATCACAACAACACTGTTCTCAAAAATATGCATATTATGTAAACTTTAAAAAATTGATCCACAAAAATATTTGGAGTATTCACTTACTTGGTTTAGAATCACTTTACAGCGAGCTTTAATAGTTCACGAGGTTCACGTTTACGTTTACACAAATAAAATATATAGAAGGGTTTTAGAAGGGGAATCAAATTGTTAAAAGTAAGAGAACGCACTCGTGAAAGAGAAACTATTCCTGGTTCCTGGCCATTTTGGAATTATATTGGTGTGATAGGGTAGAATAGCTTGCTTGCAGCCGTCACACGTCGGCGCGTGAGGCTGAGGCCTGGGTACGTAAGGTACTCCTAATCGAACGTGTTGTTAAAGCAACATGAACTTATGCCGATTCCACAAAATAATTGACCGGTATCAGTATCGGAATTACATACATACATTATACATTTATCCCACTTATATGGTATTGTTTCGGTGGCTAGAATCTATATAGCTCAACCAAAAATAGCCTATTATTGTCATCACAACTTTATGTTTTTAGCAATTCTTTATATTTGTTTTGACTATATATTTATTTAACAATCTATGCCTAGTTAACTCAGCAATGATATATTTGTGATTCAAAAATAATAATAACTTAATTGTTATTCTACCTATTTAATAATTTTTTTAATTCTGCATTACCATATATTTTGGTATTGCGACAATAATATGTGAATAGTTGCCGCCACCGATATTTGAGTTTCCTACAAAAAATAAATTTTTTGTCGGCGATGCCTCGTTAAAAAAAAATCGCAGCAAAAACTCTACAGATAAGGGTTAAGAATAAATTTAGTCCAAGAGCTATGTTCTGGATTCGATTAAAGTACTTAATTTCTTGAATTAAATCTTTGAAAGATCTTTTGAGAAAATTGAAAAATAATTTTAGACATTATTTACAACAATTTGAACCGAATAATTTCAAACCAATATAATCTTATACTCAAGCGGCTCCTGATACGTGCTCCCTGACTAAATGCAGGCCGGCTGATAATATAAACATAATTTTTTGTAGGAATCTCGGTTATCTGTGGCGAGGACTATAACTAAATATGATTGCTGACCTAACAATGGTTATTTTTTTGAGTGCTTCTTAAAAAGAATGCTGATCAACATGAGCTCTACAAGATTTGTATACTGTGAAGGTACGAGAATGTTTCAAATAATAATCCTAACCGCATTTCCTTCTCTATAAGACTATTGGTCTTTTGTCTGATTGCAAAATAATCAATTGTTTCCTGATGCTAGTATACCTACATCTTAATGCAAATATAGCCCGTTCATTAAATTAACTTTTTTCTTTGTCTTTATGTTTTCGTTTCCTGACAAGACGATGCCTAGTTTCTACTGAGGTTGTTACTCCTCCCCTACTAAACCTTGTGGAAACAAATCCAAAACATCAAATTTGAATATTCGCATTTCGCTTTTATTGGTTTAGATAACAGCCTATTATTAAGATAAACTTGTTAGGTTTCACCCAATTTCGCACAACACAAACAAAATTATTTACTTGGAAGTTTATTCTCAATATTTTCCTTCATGGTATTACTAACAAATACTAATTATCTGGTAATATGGTTAAATTTTGCTTAATTATGTTAGACGTCGGGAAGATTCTCTATTCTTGGCTTTAATGATTTAATAATAGCACCTTGTTTGATATACAATGTTAGAATCTAAAATTAATAACCCTACCTCATTAGCTGGGAGCCTATTCTTACTGTCTGGAATTGTAACAAGACTCCCAGAAACGGTATTATTTGGTGCGAGAAAGGTTGTTAAAATTTTGAATAGCTTGAAGCATGTCAACTTCAAATGAAACCTATTTCAATGAAAACTTTACAGATCCAACTTTACGGCTTAGTAACGTACATTTGATAAATTGGAAAAAGGGGATTTTGTCGAGAAAGTGTGCTGAATCCATAGGAATGCCAAAATTAACTGATATTAAAAAGTTGAGTTAGCTCCAAACTCCCAAGAAAAACATACACAATGCATAAAACTGAATAATTCCAAACTAAACTAAAGTAATGGTAGATGTGATGAACCGAATAGAAAAAATGACGGTTCCATTGGCAATACTAGATATTTTATTTGCGAACCTAAAAAGGGAATTTGCTGCCGTCTCACTAGACTGACCAGGGTGCCTCTCGATCATGGAGGTTCTGGGAACATAACTTCGTTCAGTACCGCTTCATCATATGGCGAGTCATATAATGGTCGCCATGTCGCTATCGCTTACAGAAAGTCATAGAAGTATGATGAGATCTCCTGGGTCTTCCTTTAAATCAAAGACAAGTTTGTCATCTGCACAAATAGACTACACAATCGCAGACAGAGTGATAATAAAAAGTGGCCAGGGTTCCAAAGTAGGTACTGTTAGATATATGGGTCTCACAGAGTTTGGTGAAGGAGAATGGATCAGGGTGGAATTAGACGAATCCAGGGGTAAACATGATTTTTGTTATTTTATTTATTTTTTGTTAATTATGAGGTATATCTTTCTGAGTATACTGAAGCATTCCTCATCACGCGAATTAGAAAGCATGGCAAAAGCTATACCATCGCTAAACCTCTCTACAAACCATTGTTTGTTCTGATCCCAAAGGTTGTTCTGCAACTGTGTCATATTTTGATCCTGCTTAACATTTGGATTTTCCATGGTCATATGCCCAAAAGTGTTTACAGGGTTAAAGATGGAGTTAATGGAGAAGGTGTTGTAACAGCAATTCCCTATCATTATGGAATTTTGTCTGACCACTATCAGTTAATTTATTTTTTGTGACAAACACTATAGCTTTATTTAGATACTTGATGAATGTACGGCTAAGTGGGTTGTTCGGCATCAGCTCTATGTTAACAAAGAGATTCTGTCGGTGAGTGACTTAGCATGAATGGGCCCTCCTAAACATAATCCATGTCCTAATCTTTTCACTAGTGTATCGTCTCCGATCTTGTGTAGTGTGGCGTAAATAGGAAATATAGTTGTGTTCTCCCTCTGTTTGTTCGTTGTGATGTTGTATGCCCACGTTGGTTCCTACCAGGTCTTCCACAATATCTTTTGTTATTGACTCAGCAATAATGGCTATAGGTTAGTCAGTTTCTACTGGATCTTCTAGAAGATTAGAGAAAGTAATATATTGCCCAATGTTTGCCTTTTCTGCTAGGACTTTATGATAGCCATCTATCCAAGGGTGGTATTTGAGTTTCTTAATGGTCTGGAATTCTTTTTGTTTCATGTCACAGCTCCGTATATATCCTCTTCTTTCTACCTACTCTAAGATGTTCTCTAGAGATGAAGCTTCAGCCAAGCCTACTTTTTCGTTAAGACGGAATGGATCACCTTCTGATAAGTCCCATATTCTTAGGGTGTCTTCTGAAACATTTTCATTAATTTTGTCCTCCTCTTTGTAGTTGATATGGATGACATTTTTACCTTCAGCTATCTCCTCTTCGATTAAATCTACTAGGCTACTGTAATGACCCGCGAAAAACAGACCCGTAATTTACAATGTCTTAACAGTAAAAATTGAATGTAATCAAATAATCAAAAATTGAATTTCCAGTATTTCAAATCAGTATCAATAAATTGAAAATGAAACAAATTAGCGTTGACCCAAAATAATTAAAATATTTAAAATACGTTCAATTTCTAATAGTCAGTCATCAGGCGTGTGTCATCAAGTTAGTTGAACTCATAAATCAAAACCCGGAAAAGATTAAATACAAGGTTAGGTACCTAATTAAATTAGGTCCAAAAATGACAGAAATTTCAAGAGATCGTATAATTTATTGCCGACACGAGTGGCTTTTCTTTGAATTAAGTGTCCTCTATATTCTTTTTCCATTTCGTTGACCCCTAGTAAACGGACACTTTCGACATCATCCGCTGAGCAAGTAATATTTTTTGGCATAATATCTAGGTCGACCAATAGAATTGAATTACAGATGGTCAAACGGCCGCCCATATTGTCGATTATGGTGGGCAAGTAATAGTATAAAAGGTAGTAGAGAGAGCAATAATCAATCAATTATCGAGAATTAGACTCAATAATTAGTAGTATTCAGAAATGGCAAATTATCTCAAGTATAAAAAAGTCGGGACTCGGAAAATAAAAAATTACAGTAAATAACTCGAATTAAGAAAGAAAAGTGAACGTTTCAGTTTTTATGTGCGTGCTCTAGCTATTTTGAAGTAGATAATAATTAGAATAATTAAGTGACTTTAAGGGCGATAATTTAAATGTAAGTACACTAATGACAAGTTGCTCTGTATTGCCTAAAACATTTAACACTTAATTTAAATTTTCGCTCCTGGTGTCACTTTGAAAACGCTATGGATGCACTGTCGATGAGACGTGAAGGCTGTCAAGTGTCATCTATTATTGATCGATTCACTTTCAGTTGAAGTATTGTAAAAAATCATTCTTAATGACTATTGTAAAAATAGAAGTCAGAAGGCAGAAATGCAAGGGGCAACAAAAAGTTAATAAACGAGGCAAAAAATAAGCCAGTATCTTATTTTGTCCACCTAACAAATAAGTGGAGGAAACAAACAGAACCACAACACTTTACACAAGTTTTATTTTGTCTTTATCAATGTCGAAATGACTATGTAGTGAATTGACTATGAAACTTTATTGCATAAATATTATTAACTTGAGTGAATTGACTTTGAATATTTTTGTGCTTGGTATAGATAGAGAAATTTAATTCAAATGACTGTTTATTGAAATGAATTTTACTTAAGAGTTTAGATAATCGAATTAACTGTTTTGTTCCGTCTAGAAAATGATTAGTAAGATATTTTGGTTTTTAATTGAATGAATTTAGATAAGGTGTTAGATTGGGCTTTGGAATTTCCACTATCTCCAAGGTTAGCAAGTCCCCATCAAATGTAAAACTCAATCATTGCCAAGTACATCATCCCACTGGGGGTTTGCCTCCCAGTGGCATAAGAAGGGCAACATCTAGAAAATCAATGGCCTCTAGTGTGTCGATGATAAGCTCGGCTTCCACGGGTCCTAGCAGGGTAAGGCTGGTAGTAACTTCATTGGCACCCAAGAAATCACCCACAACACCGACTACCACTACCCAAATAGTAGCAGCTCGAGTGGCAGGTAACTTGAATATTTTGCTTTACTAAAATTTACTTTGAAAATTGTTTTAACATAAACATATTCCCGTTAGCTTAGAAATCGGATATATTTTTATTTCCTGTATGAAATTGCAAGGATTCTCTTGTTTCTGATATTTATCTTTCACTAGTAAAGGTATATTTGTTATAACTTGTTTTTATTTAGCAAAGCTGCCATTATATTTTGTTTCACCGTAGATTGTGAAATAATGCAGTTCAGACTAATTCAGGTTAACTGATAATATGTGTGTATTCAGTGGCAGGTATTTCGCGGTATTTAATGATAAAATTATAGATCTTTCTGCTTGACTCAGAAAAGCAACATTGGAATGTTCTGAATCATAAGTCTTGGAAACAATCCGAATACTATTTTTAATGAACGCGCAAATTTGGAAATAACTGTTTTAAGTTTTCAATTATTACATATTCAGTCAAAGGAAATCAAAAATATCCTAACGAGTATGTGTCAGTGGGAAGCTTCAGCCTAAAATGGTCTGGTTTTAAAATCCTGTCTACTAGAAATATTTATTAGAGTCTGTAAGTGAAACTGGCCATTGTATTGAATTTTGAATCCTGTATATTTTATATATTTGCTGATAAAGTTTCTGGTGTAGCATTTTTAGTGAACGAAAACTTTTCCCGCGGATAGAAAATTAGATTTGAACATCAACAAGCTCTAACTTTCCTAATAAAACGTTCACAACCCTTTGCAGTTATAGAAGAGCTTAACAAAATTATTTAGATTATTTCCGGAGGGGTTTGAAGGGCGAAAATTAATAATTAGTTACGAAAACACACATCAGCTTTCCATAAGACTAATTGGTAGTTGAGAGAGTCTGGGTAAACAACATTTGAGTTGGTATTCACAAGAAAATAAGTCAGTAAATTACCTACAATTTTTTAGGAATAAACAAACACGTATCAACCCTTTTGGCTAAAAGGGAGGTTTTGTTTCTCATTACACACATGACGCTGCACTTTTTTTACGATAACTGGTCACCAGTTTAGATTTTGTCGAGGCGATATTTTATTTCAGAATAGAACTCATTAATTTGTCTTTAATTTAACCGACCAGAATGTTTTAGAAGTTGCAATAGTAAATTTTTTAATTCTTTATATAGCCCTTTTACCGCGAAATTGCAAGATTTACGCGCGGTTCTTGAAGTTAACGAATAAATGAGAGTTAACTGACGATGCTCTTCTTCAAACCTTAATTAGCTGAAATTTATGATAGCTGATGGTGAACTTTAAGTTGAATATATAATTTATAACCTGGACTTCGTAAATTTTCAACAATCTACTTCATTAAAAACTGGCGGGTAGCTCTAGAGGATGGGACAGTGGGTGATTTTTAGGTGAAGGGGGGTGGAGCTCAAGAGGCAAGCCGGGGTTGGTATGTATTCCCCCTCGATATTGGTGTTATTGGGGACACAACATTTGCCCCTGGAGAGTGGGCTGGCATAGCTTTGAATGAACCGATTGGAAAAAATCACGGTTCACTTAGCGGTACTAGATATTTTATATGCGAACCTAAAAAGGGAGTTTTGTGCTCTCTTACTACACTGATCAGAGTGCTTCTCTATCGTGGAGGTTCTGCGGACATAGATTAGATTAGATTGGATTGTGTTAGGGTCGTTTAGGTGATAGACCTCTCTGCACTGCGACCTGAATAGATCTATTGTGCTTCCTCTTTTTCTATTAGGTTCCCAGGTTGAGACTTTTCGTGAACCTCACGATTTTTCCGGGATTGGTTCGTTTAACATCCGCAGCAGTTAAATGTGTCTGCTCCAGATGAATGAGTCTTCTGTGACATAATACTTTGCATTTTTAGAGTATATGTTCGGCAGATTCGGATGCTTCTTTGCAGAAGCGGCAAAGGTCTGATTCAGCTTTATCTATCTTTTTCAGGTGGTAGCCAAAAGGGCAGTGGCCGGCGAGGAGACCCATTATGAGCCTCAAGTCTGGTTTGCTGAGTCCGAGTAGTTCCTTTGCCTTTGTTGACTTTGGCGAGATAAATTGCTTCGCCTGTCTAAGTCCTGTAGTATTGTTCCAATGAGAGGCCTGTTGTGCCTCTACCCATTTTTTGGGTTCAGTCCTTACATGGCTTTTTGTCAGGCCAAAGAAGGGTTCTGGACCGAGGAATGGTGACGCCGCAGCTTCTCTTGCAAGCCGATCCGCTATTTTATTTCCTTTTATGTTTTGGTGCCCTGGTACCCATGCTAGAGTGAATCTATTGCAGTTCGCCAGTTGCTTTAGAAGGGACTGTCACCCAAACTAGTCTGGATTTAGTGACAAAGCTGTTAAGAGCCTTAAGTGCTGCCTGACTATCAGAATTGATGAAGAATCTTGCCTTGAGGCCCCCATGTAGGCATCTCTCCTCACCGCAATGTGCAGAAGGATGATATCTAACATGATCTCTATAGCAGCGGTTGGACAGGTGTTCATGGAACCTGTTATTCCAACACATGTATACCCTTGTATAACTGCCAATCGGTTTTGCCCTGTCTGCTGCTTTACTTTTGGCCACCACACCATTGCAGCATATGTGACCAGAGGTCTTATAATAATCGTATATAACCAATAGGTCATTTTTGGCTTTATGCCCCATGTTTTACTGAATAGTCTTCGGCATGTCCAGTACGCGACTGATGCTCGATCAATTATTCTCTTTAAATGTGAGTTCAGGTGAGTTTTTGATCTAGGACAACGCCCAGATATTTGACTTCACTTGAAAGGCCTATTTGTATTCTATCCAGTGTTGGAGCTATTAAGTTGAGCTTCCAAGAGTTGCTTTGATTTTCCTATTCTGTAGCATCGTTTCAATCCATGTGATTGTAGTGTCCTCAAAGCCTTTGTTTTTTGCCGCCTTTCTTATGGACTCATAAGAGGTGTTATCAAATGCACCCTCCATATCAATGAATGCACAGAGAGCGGTTTCTTCGTTGGAGTGTACCTCTTCAATCCTATTGAGAAGGCTGTGTAGCGCTGTCTCCGTTGATTTGCCTGCTTGATAGGCATATTGGTTTTTATGGAGCGATTTATCGGTTACGAATTCGCTTCTTAGGTGTAAATCAATGATTTTCTCCATGGTTTTGAGAAGAAACGAGGTTAGGCTGATGGGTCTGAACGATTTAGGCTGTACTGTGGAACGTTTCCCAGCCTTTGGAATAAAGACCACATTTACTTCCTGCCAGCTAATGGGAATGTAACCTAGTAGGTAGCTAATTTTGAATATTATTGCTAGTGGAGTTATAGTTCTTCTAAGCCTTGTTGTAGGAGAGCTGGAAAAATTCTGTCTTCTTCTGGTGATTTGTAGGGCTGAAAATTGTTTATAGCCCATCTTATTTTATTTGAGGTCAATATTTTTCTGGCCAGACTTTTTGTTCGGTTGCTTGGACGTGAGACGCCGTTAGCCACCGAAGTTCTGTTGCCCTTTAGCTAACACTCTACGGAGTCTGGGAAGTGCGATTGTAGGAGCACACTCTCTAATCTCACTCTCTAATCTACTCTCTGTGTGACTGCCATCAGGTTTTTGCAGTAGTCCAATGCTGTTTGAGTGGTCTTTTGCAAGGACTTTTTGGAGTCGCATTGTCTGAGGAATGTCTCCTCACAAAAATGCCTCCAGGATTTCCATTTAGACCTTCTCAATTCCTTGTTGTATTCAGTTAGGGCAGTTCTGTATTCGCCCCAGTTGTTGGTGCGTTTTGCCCTATTGAATAACCTTCTTGTTTTAGCTCTTAGGATATTGAGCGTCCTGTTCCACCAGGGCGTTTTTCTATATACGACCCTTTGTTTCACAGGTCAGCTGTTCTCATAGGCTGTCATTAATAGAGTGTTTATTTCGTTCGTGATATACTCTAACTCACCCTCTGTTTCTATTGCGTTGGGGTAGTCGGTTACTTCTGCTTTTAGTAGGTCTTTGTATATACCCCAGTCAGTTAGTTTTGGGTTTCTATGCTCGAGAAGGCGTGTCTCTGTGACCTCTATATCGAATCTTATATGTTTATGATCCGACATCGAGATTTCGTTGGAGACGTGCCAGTTTGCTGCGGACATAACTCTGTTCAGTACGCCTTCATCACATGTTGGGAGGCATAAAATGCTCGCCATGTTACCATCGCCTACAGAAAGTTATAGAAGTATGATGAAATCTCCTGGGTCTCTCTTTGAATCAAATACAAGCTTGTCATCTGCACAAGTAGACTACATAATTAGAGACAGAGTGATAATAAAAAGTGGTCAGGGTTCCAAAGTAGGTACTGTTAGATATATGGGCCTCACAGAGTTTGCTAAAGCAGAATGGATCAAGGTGGAATTGGATGAATTTGGAAGTTAAAATGATGGATCTATTAATGGGATTAGATATTTTGAATGCCAACCAGGCTTTGGAATTTTTACTTCTATCTCCAAGGTTAGCAAGTCCCCATCAAATGTAAAACCCGATCATTGCCAAGTATATTCTCCCACTCGGGGTTTGCCTCCCAGTGGCATTAGAAGGGCAACATCTAGAGAATCAATGACCTCTAGTGTGTCGATGATGAGCTCGGCTTCCACAGCTCCTAAAAGGGTGTAAGGCTGGGAGTAACGTCATTGGCACCCAAGAAATCACCCACAACACCGACTACCGGTACCCGAGCAGTAGCAGCTCGAGCAGCCTGGCAGGTAACTTACTGAAGTTTTTTCTAAATAATTCCAAACAAAACTAATCGTAAAATAAAACTAATGGTAAATACTCTTGAGAGTCGCGAAACCCTCCAGATAATCTTTAACTTGTTTAATAATTCAAAGCCTTCCCTTACTGAAAATTCACTTCCTGACACATGAATGTTGTGAAAGTCTTTAAAAAAATCCATATTTTATGGAACCTTTCAAAAATGTATCACTTGCTTTCCATCTACATCCACATGCACATATTATATAATCCACTTTTGCGGCATTTTCCTGGGAACTTATTATCACGTAAGATTTTCCACTACCTTCGTGCATA